ACTTTTTCAAAATTCAAATACAATGTATGATTATGATTTGAGAGGGTCTTCAACTATAGCTAGACTTTGCCTTCCCAGGCCTAGAACAGAATATCTATCCTACGGCGCCGTACAAATATCATCTGGTTCAACCCTCCCTTCAGCAAAACAGTTAGAACAAATGTTGCTAAAACTTTCCCTCAACTCATGGACAAGCATATCCCACCCAAAAACCAACTCCGCAAGGTCTTTAATAAGAACAATATCAAAGTCAGTTACTCATACATGGACAATGTAAAGAATAACATAACACGCCACAACCACCGCCTCCTAAGAAAAACCTCTACAGTCCCTAAACCCAAAGAATGCGACTGCAGGAAACTGGGGGGGGGGTGGCGGGAGCCCCAGTTTAGTCAAAAATATTCATTAGTCGGGCAATTTGTGCTTAAGAGTCGGGCAATCTTCCTGCATACTGACTAATCAATTTGGTCTTTCCAACAAACAAATGTTATTAATAGTACGTAAAAATTCGAAATATTTAAAAATACTCAAACTAGAATATTCTATTTCGTCATCACCGCGTGCGCACATCAGTGCTAAACGTTTCGCTTCATCAGTTAGACAAAGCTTTCACAAATACAGCAAAAAATCGTTTCTTTTTCGCATTTCCGACGAATAATTTAGATAGAAACACGCAAGAAAATACGGTGTTATCCCAAGATTCTGGTATCGGCTCGTTGGCGGAAATTTTGGCGGAAATTCAAACATCGTTGGCGGATCTTTCTGCAGCCTCAAAGACCCAGACAGCACCATTCCAAGCTCTTCACGAAGACCTTCTCGTCCAAGAAGACACTGGCGAAGAGACGTAAGGAAATGACGGCGTTTCACACACGGTTGATCCAAATTGTGTTGTGACAGCCTTGCTCGACTCGAGCGAAGATGGCGCCATTCAACCTCCTGGTCAGGAGAGCTCTGACACAAAGCCAAAAACTGACGTACTTGATAGCCTGACACAGGCTTTTATTTCTTCTGAGAAGAAATCTCCAGCTATTGCTTCAAAAATTGCTGATCTGATAGACAGCGTTTTGTCCGGAAACGGCGAAAGAACGCGGAGAGAAATATCTTCCTCCGGAAAACTGTAACCGTGTGTGTACAGTGACAGTAAATGAGGAAATTTGGGATCTACTTCCCAGGCGAGATAGAATTGTTGATCTCGCACTTCAACGAGTACAAGATACCCTGATTCAGGGGCTTTCCTCGCTTGCACTTTTAGCTGATAAGTTATCTAAAGGTGTTCAGAGCAAGTCACCTCTGAACACAACAGAAATCTTGCATCATGTCATGGACAGCCTTGTGCTTATTACCCAAGCAAACTGGAGCTTGAATATGAAGAGACGCGAGTTGATTAAACCTACTATAGAAGCTCCATTTACAAGGGTGTGTGAACCGGACATAGCTACAACCACCAAGCTTTTTGGTGATGATTTACCTAAGCAATTGAAAGACATGACAGAAGTGAACCGAGCAGGGAAACAATTGCAGAAGAAAGCCCCAGAGCAAAAACACCATTACCAGAAACCATATGACCGCCCACGCTTCAACCCAAACAAAAGGTTCAATAATTATAACAACAAGAAACCTTTTTTAGGGTACAGACGTGCGGCATTTCAATCGGGAATGTCGCACAAGAAAAACAACCAAAATAACAACTAACACAGGTGAGCTTACATAAAGATTTCTTCGCCAGTGGTTCGAATGGAAATAGCCAGACACTGGCTTTTGTTGCGGGTCAAGTAAAAAATTATTTACCTCACTGGGAATATATTACACAAGACCCTGTGATCTTAAGTGCAATTCAGCACTATAGCATTGAGTTTGAGGAGAAGCCTCCATTACAAACTCTGCTTCCTAAATATAATTTTTTTTTTCCTTATCAGATAGAGAGGTTGTTAACAATGAAATTGTCAAACTTCTCCATAAAGGAGTTATAGAGGAAGCTGATAATACCCAAGATAGCTATCTCTCTAATGTGTCTGTGCGCCCCAAAAAGGATGGCACACACAGAATGATCTTAGATCTTAAATCCTTAAATGAATTTGTAGCATACCACCATTTTAAAATGGATACTTTTCAAACAGCTATAAAACTCATTCGGCCAGGATGCTTTATGGCCTCTGTCGACTTAAGAGATGCTTACTATTCTATCCCTGTTGCCACTGAGGATAGAAAATATTTAATGTTTGAGTGGCAAGGTTCATATTTTCAGTTTACTTGCCTACCCAATGGGCTCTCATGTGCCCTAAGACTTTTTACTAAAGTCCTCAAACCAGTTTATACCCATCTTAGAATGTTAGGTCATACATGTATGGGACATATTGATGACTCATTACTTGTTGCCCGGTATTATAATGATTGTGCAAGCAATATTAATGACACAATAGACTTATTTAACAAACTTGGGTTTGTTGTGCACCCAGAAAAATCTGTTTTGAAACCTACTCAAGAAATAGAGTTCCTTGGGTTTATAATTATCTTACCACGTCAGTAAGACTATCAGCATCAAAATCAACCAAAGTTCAGACTGCTTGCCAGAACCTGTTAGACAGCAAGCACATCACCATATGGGATATGGCCCATGTTATAGGCCTGCTAGTGTCTAGCCTCCATGCAGTACAATTCGGGTAACTTTATTACAGGATAACGCCCTTAGACAGAACAAAGATGACTTTAATGCTACAATGACCTTGTCTAGTGGCTCAAAGTCAGAGTTATTGTGGTGGATAAAGAAACTCTTCACCATTCACATAGGTCTCTTGTTATTAGTAAACCTGACCTTGTCCTAACAACAGATGCCTCACTCTTAGGGTGGGAAGTGGTGTTCGATAAGCAGGAAACTGGTGGACAATGGAGCTCAGTAGAAAACAAATTTCATATTAACTACTTAGAAATGAAGGCAATCTTACTAGGGTTACAATCCCTATGTAATAATGCTCATGATACCCATATCTGTGTCCAGTCAGATAATACAAGATATTATGTTGCATGGCGACCTGATCCTGGGGCTAAATTTACAGATGCATTTTGTGTTAATAGGGAACCTTATTTTTTCTACGGTTTTCCACCTTTTAGCTTGATCTCCCAATGCCTGAAGAAAGTTCTAATAGTGCCCTATACTCCCGTTGGAGTTCTAATAGTGCCCTATTGGACAATACAGGCATGGTTCACAATTCTGATTAATCTTTTGATAGAAAATCCAGTGGTTCTTCCACAGTCAGACAATCTGTTACTATTACCTCAAACAGGGGCACAACACCCTCTTCGGAGAAAAATTAGACTTATGGCATGCAAGCTATCAGGACAAGTCTCTTGCAGAGACATGTTTCTGGCAAGGCAGCCAAAATCATCATCGATTCCTGGGCAGCTACCTCCCTTAAACAATACCAACCTTACCTCCAGACCTGGCTCAAACTGTATCGTGAATGGGAGATTAATCCCTATGATCCACCTTTAACGAAAGTGCTTGATTTCCTTACATCCTTGTTGGAAAGAGGCCTAAAATGTGATGCAATTAACACAGCAAAGTCAGCGGTATCAGCTATCACACAACCTAAGAATAGTCTTACTCTTGGAAACCAACCTTTTATCTCGCGGTTTATGAAAGGGGTATTCAGGACCAGACCTCCTGTTCCTCGATACGAGTCCACTTGGGATGTTCAAGTGGTGTTATCTCATCTGTCTTCCTTGGCTTTACCGAATGAACTGGATCTTAAATCTCTTACTCATAAACTTGTCATGTTGGTGGCAATTGTATCAGCACAGAGAACTCAAAGTATACATTTACTTGACTTGCATTTTATGAAAGAGAGTACTGATCAGATTGAGTTTGTTTTCCAACACACGTTAAACAAAGCCGACCTGATTATAAAGTTCCATCGGTTATCCTCAAGGCCTACCCGTCAGATCCAAGATTATGCATTGTCACACACTTGAATGCATATAAGGAGAAAACAAAGTCGCTGCGAGGGGTTGATAGCAAATTGTTTTTTAGCTATGTCAAGCCTCACAAGGCAGTCTCGAAAGATACCATATCTCGATGGATTCGCACAGTTATGATGAACGCTGGACTTGATGTCACAATATTCAAGCCACACAGCACTAGGTCTGCAGCAACATCCAAAGCAACACAAGCATGTGTTCCTATACAGGATATATTGAAGCAGGCTGGTTGGTCCAATCATCGTAAGTTTGATAGGTTTTATAACAAACCAGTTAGAAAGGAATCTTCCTTTGCAGAGTCTGTCCTCAAGGTTGACTGAGAGAACTGTATAAAATTAGCATCCTTAACTGTTTAAGGAGTTATGGAGTTATTGTTATTACATTTATTGATTGATATTAATATACAGTATCTTTTATTACTCTCGTCACTCGTGTGAATGTTTCGCTTTAAAATGTCATGGTATCCCGGATGCAGTAATGAAGAAATAGAATATTTATTGTAAATTAAACGAGACTTACCTGGAAGTTGAAGTTTGATTGGAATTCTATGAGTCATAATACTGCATCCAGCGACAACTTGGCCACCGCTCTGGCCCTCCCTATTTCTGAGGCAAGATTATGAAGTGCAATTGGTAAATATGCATTACCTCCTTGGTGTGAAACATTCACACTCGTGTTTGAAAACTGATGTGCGCACGCGCTATGCAACCTCATGTTATCCCTGGATTCAGTGTTATGAATTAGAATCCCATTAATTCATAGAATTCCAATCAAACTTCAATTTCCAGGTATAAGTCTCGTTTAATTTACAATATGCTTGCATAAAGGTGACAAAAATAATAAAAATAAACATGCTTTTCCATTCGCGCCATTGGCTATGTACCGTAACTGATTGGCGCGAGCGCTAACTAGCGCTAAACAGACATCACTCCCAACGAATCGTGAAGAGATAGCAAACACCTTCGTGGCTTCGTATGCCATGAAATTTCGGAAATTTTTTTCGTCATTCGGAAATTTTTCGCTTACACCCCCCCCCCCCCAAACTATACATGCTAGCTACGGCCCTGCTGGTACATGCTGACATATGTTTCGAGCACGGTCGTATACGCCGGCATACGGCAAGTCCCGGCGAGACAAAAACATTTTTAAGCATGCTTAAAAATTTTGTATGTATTCGGACGTATGGTTTATATGATACTCTAGGCGCATGCTGAATACGCTAGAGGAACACCAGATGTACGGTACTCATACACTGACATTTCAAGGGATGGACTCCAGTCTTCTATAAAGCAAATTCCATCTTGGCAACATTCCAACTACGTCATTGATGTTCTGCAGAAAGATCTTTCAGTGGGTAACGAAGGGTGAGGACGTACCTTCGTTCCACAATGGGTCAAGAATTTCTCTTCTCTGTATGGAACGACCATATGCTATTATAATATAGCATTTGTAAATTCTGAACGCTGATTGGCTAAGAGCCGTGTTGATATAACTCAATGTCAACACGGGGAATTTTCCGCCGCTTGTAAACACGGAAATTTTTCTTGATCCTTCGGGCTTTTGACATTGCTATATTATAAAAAAATATAAAACATTTTTTCCGTATTGATATATAGTTATATCAACACTCGTGGAAGTTGGGAAAACTCGAAATTGTATGAACACACGTACTCCGCCCTTCGGGCGTCGTGTTTCCATACAATTTCGAGTTTTCCCAATTGACTATTTGCATAATAGACTAAATTTTGATCTAAACAAGTCTAGACAAGAAATTTCAGAAATTTCATCACAGCTTGAAAGAGCATCACAAAAGTAGTAATATTCCAAAGTTTCGTTGCGAAATGTTGTAAAATGCGGATAATATAGCCTTGCGAATAATTAATACAAACGGGAAATTGACAGCCCCAAAGGGAATTGGGCTGTCAATTTCCCGTTTGTAATCTAAAATGACTGAAAATTGCAAACTTCGCAAGGCTATATTATCCGCATTTTACAACATTTCGCAACTAAACTTTGGAATATTACTAATTTTGTGATTCTCTTTGAAGCTGTGATGAAATTTTTGTCTATAGATCAAAATTTAGTGTATTACGCAAGTGGACAATTCCACTCGTGTTGATAGTTGCTGCCGTAGCGAGCGAGCGAGCGAGCGAGCGTGAAGGGAGCGAGCGAGCGTGAAGCGAGCGAGCGAGCGTGAAGCGAGCGAGCGAGGCAGCAGTCCTAATCTTTATGTATATGTATATATATATATATATATATATATATATATATATATATATATATATATATATATATATATATAAGGCAGATGAAATCTCGATCGTTTCGGCGTATTTCGGCCTACCACAATGCACTGCTTCCGGGCCGGCAGGCTATTCTTGCCTAATAAACAAACAGGCATAAGGCAAACAAGCAATGTGATCATCTTTCATATTTGGTTTTCTTTTATGGAAAGCCATAGCTGGCGTAAGTGATCAAACGGCATTTTGTCGATACGCAGTGGTTCGAGCGTTATACGCGGTGGTTTCGCTATTATACGCAGTGGTTCGAGCATTATACGTGGTGCCTTCGCCATTATACGCGGTGCGTTCGCCATTATACGCAGTGATTCGAGCATTATAATATACGCGGTGCTTTCGTCATTATACGGGGTGCTTTGAACATAATTTCTATATTCTTTCCATGTATATAATCTCACGATTGCTTAATAAATCTGGTAGGCCCATGGCTGTGCTTATTACCTCTGGTCTGCAATGACAATGACATGCTTTTCAAAAGGTTTATTTATAAAAAGGTGACTGCACTTTGTGAGTTCTTATATATTATCATATAGTGTTGATTTATTAGTAATAAATCTGTGTATATAACATAGGTATATAAATTAATATAACGCAGCAAATGCGCGCCAAGCAGGCCAAGCAGTATAAACGAGGCTAGTGAAATACGATATTAAAATCTTGAATGTGCCATATGATTTAATTATGTTTTAGGATTTAAAGCCTTTAAATATGATTTGTCATTTGTATTTGTACTTGTACTGCATCACAACGCAGTGCGTAAGTGAACAGATTCCACATGTGAGGTTGTCTTGTATATATTTTTGCCTTCTTTGATAAACATTATTAAACACGCAAATTTAGTGAGACGCACACTAGCACATGTTAAATGTCACCTGCATGTCATCGTCATTGCCCTTTAACCCCTGGTCTAAATCATATGATTATTAAAGAGGGGCCGTTTTGACTTTGGGCCGTTTTGACCTAGCACCGTATTTGTGGGCAAATTGTCTATACAATTTTATATACTAGATATCACAGCCATACCTGCCATTTTGATCTTTTCCTCGCGTTAGATAAATTGATATACACTCATTCTTGTTAGCCATCGTACCTGTTCGGCTGTTCCTCTTTCGATACGAAACTTCGAGCGCTGAGTTATCATACGGCACATTCAAGTGTATAAATTATGGATGATTCCAATGCACTACGAATATTTCTTACTCTTATTCTTTAAAATATTAAGAGGCAACTTTTTTCAATGTCACGTATTTGCAATGAAAAGTGTTCAAAACCTAATTAAAATCTTTTTGGCGTTTCTCTCAAAATTACTTTGTTACTATTCTCTACAGTTTATAGAGTTAGTTGGTACTATTCTCTACAGTTTACAGAGTTAGCTACTTTTTAAATGCGTCTGCCGGTTTAGAAACATAAAATAATAGTTAAAAATTGCCAATTAAAATACAATTATCAATGATGCCTTAAAATTGACGCTATATTTACAGCCATTTAAGCAAAACGTACTGAACTTCAGACATCATTTTCTCTTTGGCGTATCATCTAAAATCTCTTTATTTTAGCATTATTTTACGGATAAAGCACTAAACATACTTTTTAAGGCTTTTTTTACCGATTGAGAAACGTATCGAAAAATAAAAATTTTGATTTTAGTCATAATCTCATGTGGTATATTATACGCATTAGTTTTGAGCGCGTGTTACGTAACATACAAAAAATCTCATTTAAAGATTTGGGAACAATGCTATACCAAGGCAGCATTCACTACTCTGTGGGTAAACTAGTATAACTGTATATCAACACGGAAAATGTTTTATATTTGTTAAATAGAACACGGCTCGAGAATGATATGGACAGAATCATTGATGCTTTTGGCCAACGAAGTCACCGTGCCTCACATTTCTTTTGACAGTAACATAATATAATACACGGGATAAACTTGTAGGGGGAATTAGGTTAGGTTTTCGGTAAAAGTTACATTTATCATATTAAAATGGTCATCAGACATGGTCTTGTTTCATTAATTTTTCCCTTCGTTCCTCGCTCGCTCCAGGCACAACATTTCACCACAAAACGCAGGAAATTTATGGCATTTTAGAGGTTCCACATTTCAAAACTTCCCGGGGGCGCATACCCCGGACCCCCCTAGCAGTTCCCTCGCCTTCGCCGCTCGTCGGACAGATTGACATCCGCCCCCCCCCCCCCTTAAATTTCTAAGCCCGTACGCCTACTATGTCCACTGGATGGAAAATGTTTGACTAGCAACGTAGTTTATGAAGCAGAAGTAACAAGGCCCCATGATGAAACGACCAAAGAGTACATTGGAAAGACTTCCAAATGACGGAACTTTCTAAATACGTGTGGGATTTGAAGAGCAAGGAAAAGGAATACAGCATTAAGTGGTCTATTTTAAGACGAGCAGCAGCGTATGTACCTGGCGGTAGGCGTTGCAATTTGGGTATAGAAGAGAAATTAGAAATTATGAAGTCAGATAAAACAAATCGGTTGAACAAAAGATCCGAATTCTTCGCGAAATGTCGCCATCGAAAAAAATTCAGCGCAGGGAAATTCGAACGCGCGCAAGCAAGCAAGCAAGCAAACAAACAAGACAACGCATCAGCGAACGGTTGATGATTAGCTACATATTGCTTACATACATACATATACATACAAAAAATTATTTATGCACGCTGGCCTCAACAACTCAGAGCTGATTTCCATGATGGCCATGATTTTGGAAAGAATATACAGATAAACATTACCAAATTATACATAAATATACAAAAACAAATAAAGAAGGAATTACTATATACTGGCAACAGGACGAGCCAATTTTGAGTGTTTGCCTGATTAATGATTCTTTGGAAAGAACTTAAAGATTAAGCTATTTTTAACTCATACGGTAGATTATTCCGTACTACCGCTCCGTTATATTTGAAGCATCTTTTACCAAAATCGTTATTCGGTTTAGGAAAAGACAAATCGGTTTCTCTATTTCTAAGATCATAGCTAGGTATTATCACATT